CGCTAGTCTGGGTTGCTGTTAGGGAACTTAAATTAAGTTACTATATTGGGGAAACCCTATTATTTACTATATATACCCATTATGGTAACTTAATTTAAGTTCCTTAACAGCAACCCAGTAGTCGCTTGCAGTCTGACAGGCGGCCAGTCGGCCTCCTCGATCCCTGTCTCGGTGGAGGCCTTGGAGCGGTGCATCTGTGGGCAGAACTACTGTGGTCATATAGGGGTAATATAGGGATAATGGAAAATAAAATGGAAACTACTATATTATACAGGGTTATATTGGGGTTATAGGGGGTCTACAGGGCAGCTGTTTCCAATAGCTTCACATGGGTAGAGCTGACCGTGTCTCTGTACAAAGATGACGCAGGACATGGTTGCTTCCGGCAGCCTTCGTTTGACGGAGGCAGGGTGGGAGGTGCACCCAGAAGTCCCTGTGGGGTTCCGTTTTGCATCGTTGTGCACGTGTCAGTCGGCCTTCAGAGCTGCATGCGAGCAGCTGGAAGAGGACAGCGAGAGTGAGGAGATAAAATCAGTGCCCGAAAGCATCCAACAGTTCCAACAGTTGAGAAAGCTCCGTGTGTCTCCTCGTGGGCCTTCAAAGACGGAGCATCCATGCCTCCAGGCTTCATCAATCCCATTCTTGGTGCAGGAGCGTGCTCAGGAAGAGGCCGATGCGAAGGCACCCCGCCATTGCTTGGGTGGTGCTACTGCTGTCTAGCCTGCTCACAAAGTTCTTGACAACTTGAAAGTGAAGCATCCTAGAATCCGAGCCAGCCTCAAGTCCCAAGCAGGATTTATGGAAAGGGAAATGAAATGGGTTCATAGGTGAAATGCCGGGGGGTATCCATCAGTTTAACATACCATGCAGATTTTAAGAAGATGGTGAGGCTAGCCACGGAAGGAGTACAGCACCGTCAAATATGTCCAGCTTCACATTGAAAGGAGTATGAGGTGCTTCAAGAAAAATGGTTTCTTTCCGCCCTTTTATCACCCAAAAATCAGCAGGCAAAAGCCTGCATGCATGTTTTCTGAGTTCTCGACAATCACCGGAAAGACCATCCTTGTGTAGCCTTTCTATGAAGACATACATTTCACCTTAAACCTTTTCTAATTAGTTGAGCTCATACAAAGACTAGGCGCGACAAACACGTACTGTACTACTTTGGCAGCGTCGGACCGACGTCTCCTTCATAAAATTAAGCCCTTAACCCCAATATACTATAGTAGTTTCCATTTTCTTTTCCAGTATCCCAATATGAATCCTACAGAACCCTATATAACCCCTATGTAACCCTTCCATTCAGGCTCAGCAGCTTCTGGATTTCATCTTTTCAAATCTGTTTCTCACACGCTGGGGGTTATATAGGGTTACATAGGGCATATACAGGGTTGTATAGGGTTAATTCGGGGTTATATAGGGGTTATATATGCCCTCAGTTCAGGCTTTAGAGTTCAGGACTCAGAAGGCCATAGACCATACCTCTAGATGGAAGTCGCAGGGAAGGTCCATAGGGCTCAGCCAACTACGGCAAGGCCTAGATCATTACCAATCTCCTGTTGACGTCTATTGGAGGCTTCACCATAGTTATACAAGGAATCTTCGACCAGAATACTGGTACATCTTCCAGCTTCTACAGTAGACCCCACATCCCCAAAAGTCATCCCTAACATAACCACAGTGCGGATGTAGTACACCCCGCTGGCTTGCTTGATCAATTCCTAAACGCTAAGCCCTAAACCCTGTGGCTGTTTCAGAGTACGGCGTAACGTCGGATTCAGTCACATGTAAGTGTTGGCCTAAACAAAAATAGAGGTCATATCGAGTGTATAAGGATATACAGGGTGTGGGTTAAGGGGTTTAGGGACTAGGGTTCCCAATCATTGTTATGCCCATAATGGAGAATCAAATGGAAACGAAAAGCACGACAATGAAATGGAAACTGGGATTGTATGTTTTGGGATTAGGGTTTCACAAAATTGGGGGTACTATACAGTGACGGTTACACTATTTTGGAGTTACATTGAGGCCCCCTATCTAGGAAAACTACAGTACCATTTGGACGAAACCGCGGTCGAAGTTAAAGCTTTTTGCAGATTTTTTCCAGAGAGGGCAGTTGGAATCCGGACATGTAAAGTCCATAGCAAAATGAAAGAATTTCAAAACGTACAAGCCAAGCCAGTGGAGGGCACGAATGCCTTTCCCGCCTTGGGGTCCGGTTTTCTTCCAAAAGCCCAGACCCCGATTTAGCTTTTCTCATATGTTTTCCCTCGAAAGGTGTTTATGCGGTTTTGTCCGCCAGTCATGCTGAGAGTGTTTGGTAACCACCACGCCAGTGGATGCTCTTTCTGCATGCATGGGTGATGAACTTTCAGTGAAAAACTCCTGCGAGGCGCTGGCCACGGTGGGTGAGGCCTTGGCATCACATGCCAAGTCGACTAAAGAGGAGGCCCGTCTGCAATCCATTGTACCTGCAGGGGCTCAGCATCAAGGCTGGTGGTTGGAGTGTCTGCTACATTGTAGGCGTTACCTGCAGCATCTTACCTGCTAGATCACACAAGCTTGACCATGGATTGGGCTGCAAGCATGCTGAGATGCATGCCGTTAGCCAGTAGCAAGCAACATTTTTGGCGGAAGGCGTTGGCCACTGTGGGAGAGGCACTCGTCTCTCACGCCGATGAGAAGCACACGGAGGCTACCTTTCAGGTCATGCGATTGCAACACAGATCTGCTGTCTGCGAAGCATGGAGTACTGGCTGTATTTTGCAGGCTTTGACAGCCGTGGGTGATGCTCTTGCATCGCATGCCCGTGCCGCTGAGGAGGAGGCAAGGGCCAAAGCATCATCGCTCATGCTTACTTTCTTGTGACGCGCGCAGAGTCGCGAGGCCTTCGCTGCGATTGGAGAGGCGCTCGCCTCTCATGCGTCTTCCAAAGAAGCAGAGGCCAGACACCTATCGTGCTTTCACCTTGGAGCGAGATGAACGTCTGGGAGGCTTTGGCAAAGGTTGGCGCTGCGCTGGCGTCACATGCGAAAGCCACCGAAGAGCAGGTACAATCTGGCATGTGATAGCCAAATGCCATACTTGGGCGCGGTGCTTGCTCTCGTAGGCCTTGGCTGCTGTGGGAGAGGCGCTGGCCTCACATGCCAAGGACAAGGAGCAGGAGGCCTTTTGGACATGCAGTTTCTGCGAGAGTCTATGAGTGCCTGGTGATCTGCTAGCTGCTAGGCACTGGCCGTGGTGGGTGAAGCCTTGGCATCACATGCCAAGTCGACTGAAGAGGAGGCCCGTCGGCGATCCATAGTACCTACAGGGGCTCAGCATCAATGAATCAAGGCTTGTGGTTTGGGGTGTCTGCTCCGTTGTAGACTTTATCGGATTTTGCCTGGCCAGCCCGATAGCGCCCTATAGCTTCCCACAGCATGTCACACGCTAGACCACGCAAGCTTGACCATGGATTGGGCATGATTGGGCTGCAAGCAAGCTGAGATGCATACCGTTAGCCAGTAGCAAGCAACATTTTTGGCGGAAGGCGTTGGCCACTATGGGAGAGGCACTCGTCTCTCACGCTGATGAGAAGCACACGGAGGAGGTCTCATGCCCGTTTTGAGTGATAATTCGTGTTTTGTTGCAGTTATGAGTCCCTGTTTGTGCGCTAGATCTGGAGTACTTGGGTGTAGCCGGTCCGCAAGGCGTAAAGATTGATCCAGCTGCATGAATAATGGAGATTCAAATGGATTATCAACTGGAAAATGAAATGGAGACTGGGGTTATACAGGGGTTATATAGGGATCACACAAGCACTGATAAGCAAAGGAGCCCCCGCCCGTTCCACCCGGTGCGGCAAAGCCTGATGCGGATGAGTCCTTCGGCAAGGCCAGGCTGTACTGTGGATAATGTAGAGCCATGATTAATAAACCCCCTCCTTTTAAGGGCCTTGATATATTAATATAAGGATCCCTATTATAATCCCTATTCAGGGAAGGGGGTTTATTAATCATGGGTCTGCATTAGATGAATCGCTTCCGCCTAGTATGAAAACCCCCCCCAACCGCCAGTGTGCAACTTGATAATGCGACAGGGAGCCTCCCGGACTCCTGTGCCGCCCCCCCCAACCGACAGAAAAGTACATGTTCTCTCTCAATATGTTATAGTGGAATCTTTACTCTTAGGTGGGGGGCTAGTATTAGGGGGAGGAGACTTTATGGGAGATTTTTCAGGATAACTTCTTTGGGATAAACTGGGGGGCCCTGTTGATTTACGCAATCCGGTTGTAGTCCCCACAAATTTCTCCAGTCCCCAAAGCCCGCCCATTTTTCAGAAGCCGGAAATCCTGCACTGCCCGGTCCCCTTATGGACATCGGGGACCCAACAAGCTCCGAGAAGGTTACGAAATCCCTGAAGATACCATGGTTCCTAGGGGGGTCAATAGGGTTGCCACGCTTGAGGTCATGTGCAGTGCAAAGTCATGCAGGATGCAGTCCACCAGCAGCAGTTGTAGAATAAGAACTCAGTTGAACCATTGCTGGAGTTAGAGACATGGTCGTGTTTTAAGCTCAGATTGTATCTCTTCTAGCACGACGCGACAGGCGCTCAATTCTTGACCTGTCGCTCTATATAACTGCAGATGTTTTAATCCTCTGGCTGAGACCCAATAATATGGGGTTTTGCACTACATGCAGTAGTGTTTTTGTGGACTTTTCGTGATTCGCAATGATAAGGGTTCTAGTATGCTGGAGTCTACATTGTGGAAAACCCCACATCCCTTCGCAACTTGCGCGTGCAAGGCAAGTGGCTTTCTATAAGGGGGCAGGTGATATACCACAGATTTCGTAGACGATCGCGTGGGTTTCTAGAATCACACTTATATAGCCTATCCGCAAAAACATGTTTTTACAGAATCAGATTCTCTACGTTCCTTTTGGCAACGCTACATGCTTTCCGGAATGAAATGACATTGGCAGTTTGTCGTCAAGAGCAGAATCAGTCCTATAATCCTCCAGTGGGATCCCTCTAATGCCCTTGTACACCCCCCATCACCCAAAGCGTCTCTTTTTCAACCTCTTTTTCAACCTCTCCAAATCCTAAACACTAAATCTAAACTCCTAAATTCTATGCAGCACTTTCACACCTTTACAGGGACCCCTAAACCCTAAACCCTAAACCGCGATGTTGAGCTGCGAAAGCAGAGGAGCTTCCACCTGCGTTGCCGAGTGCGGCAAAGTCTGATGATGATGGGTCGTTCATCAAGGCCAGGGCATACGGTTTAGGGTTTAGGGTTTAGGAAATTGGGGTTAGAGGGGGATAATGGAAAATATAGTGGAAACGTTTAGCCTGGTTGGGAGCCCTTCAGTGCTCGTTCGAAACTCTATTCTATAGGGGTTATACGGTTTAAATCCTTATAAATAGTGGGTTCCATTTTCTTTTCCAGTATCCCTATATAATTCCTATATCCTCCCTATATTACTATATTACCCCTAGATTACCCTGCAAAGTAGTCCCTATGGCTTGGGTAAGAGGGTAGGGTTTAGAATTAAGAGCCTTGAGCCTTGGGCTTTATGTTTATCATGCGGTCGCGCTTTTTAATAGGGTTTAGGGCTTAGGGCTTAGGGTTTGGGGTTTTACGGCTGCCATGCGCTTCCCAGTTGCTTTACATGACGTGCAAACAAGCCTTTTTGGCGCGTAGGCGCAGTCACCAGATATGCTTGGAACCCTG